AATCTAACAGAAATATATCTGCTGGCTCGTGAGGCAGTGGTCCGTTTCGTGCAGGATTCCATCGCTTACGCGGTGGACCAGCAGAAACGAAATGCCGACAAGAATGGGAGGTTGAATGTTCTTTCATTTATTAGAGGCAACTTAGTTCTACTCTCTACGGTAAACTTACCTGGACATGCAGTCATCTAGTGTCGGCAGTAGTAAACTACTGCCGAAGTACATCGGTCCCTTTTGTGTGCTGCCGACAAGACAACGCATACACAATCGAACTTCCACATAGGATGAGCACGCATCCTACGGTAACGTGGGTCGTCTCCGCCCGTACTGTCAGTACGAGCCTTATTCCGATTATGAAGATACCCCCACGCTTAAGAACATCCTTGCGCGCCCCCCCAGAAATTAGCCTGGACGCGTAACGAAGAGACCTCTCTACGAGCTGTCCCCAGATATTCGAAGAGGGATCGGACATCACACTCAGCCAGAAGTTGGGCTTAGGCGTAGTCGGCACGATTCTTCGCCCGATCAGCCTCCCGATCCTTGCGGTGTTGCCGCACGGAATCGGTCAGAGCATAGCGCCTGTCCCGCTCGTGCTCCAAATCCTCGCGCAATCGACCAATTGCGCGATCCATCTCGTATTGGTCGAGATGGTGAGTCAAAAGACTTGGAGAAGGTTATTCCTCCTCCTCCATATCCCTTGGTGGACTCACAAGGTGGTAAACTCTTCCTTGTAAAGCGTATCTTGAATCAACGTGGTGATTTAGGATCAAGGAAAAGTTTCTTTGTCCAGTGGCGGGGTTATCCACCCTCGTGGAACATCTTGGATCCCCGCTCCCAGCTGGTGATGAATGTGCCCTATCTCGTCAAGCAGTACGGGGTGGACTACCCTTTGGAGGAGGACTATCGTTAAATGAACGCCCGGCGCGTTCGTTAAGGAATTGTAAAGTCTCAATATCTTCGTACATCTCGGAAGAGATTCGCTCTCTCCGGCAGGGTTATAAGGAAGGAAGGCCTCCCAAGGGACGTAAACAGAGTTACAATACAACTCTGACCTTTCTCTCCCCACGAGAGGCAAGGTAAACCTGCATCTCGAGACAATTGGTGCAATTTCAACCGAGCACCGATTATGGACTTCTGTTCAAACTTCTCTTCGAGCTGTAGTAATTTTGTCCAGCCAAGTGTCACTGCCAACATTCTCAATGTTGCCGATGAAAATATTATACGTCTGCACCAAAGAGAGCTCGTCCCTCTTGCGGTTGCCAAGGTACCATTTATGTCTGAAAAGACATCGATGTAGAAATCATGCTTAGTGTGATAATTTTTGCATTGGGATCAGTTCCATGGATCCTTGACGATTCAAAGAGTGGAAATCGACAACTACCAGTGATATACCCATAGCACTATCTCAACTCGCTCAAGGTAGGCATCGATGGCCTATTTCTCAGGAGCTAATCGCAACGCGTTGCGATACTGCTCCTCGTGCGTGGTGTTAACATGAGATCTAGCACCACGATCGCTGCTATACCTAGTGTAGCTGCGGCGTTGGCCACGATGACTCCGCAAAGAGTCATCGACATTCTCATGAGGACTTACGTCCTCATGTTTCGCAATCGCCTTGTACGGATACGAGCGCGATTGTTTCAATCCTGGTGGCGAGTTCACACACTCGTCGGATGAACCGAAAATCTCATGGCGCAAGTCTTTATCAAGACTGCCGCGAGGCGCAGCAGTCGCCGATTCCGCAACCTTACGGTCGAGCTTTGCGCACGGCTTTCGGTCGGATGGAGAATCTGACTCGCCTGGATAGACCCTCTCTATCTCAATATCTTAAACCATGGGACTACCTTCCGCAGCCAAAGCAGCGGGTGAAGAAGGAACACGTGGATGACACGTGTTCTGCAACTAAGGGAGTTGCAGACTGCTTACTGGCAGCAGCAGGTGTCAAGTCACATGCTGCTGAGTATTATAGAGCCTGTTCTTCGGCTGCACGCATCCGTGTAGCCGCTTCACTGGCGGTCTTGCTCGCGCGGCGCATGGACGAACACGTCATGCGGTGAAAGGCTGAATGCGTTGGGCAGAACCAACAAGTGCTCCCTTTCCCACAGAGCGCACCAAATGTGGTCACTCTGTCACCAAGTAATTTAATCACACACTGTAGTGACTGATAGTTAGGGGGTGATGGAACGGGGTTAGCCCGTTACATAAATAATAATTGAAATCTTTGTACCAATTATTGAACATTATCTATTTGAATAGTGTTCAATTGACTTTACTCGTAAGGAGTAAGGTTGAAGGAGTATTACCTCCAAGCGTTATATTTATTTGATGGGTTGCTCCACCTGATGGTTGATGTTCACGGTACACCAACCAGATTAACCACCAATCGCTGCTATACGCGCGCAATGGGTAGTGAGTAGATCATACAATCGAAGTTTGTAGTTTCGTATAGCTTAAGTAAGACAAAGGACGTTTGATTAGAAAGACGCTGGAACATGTATTATATACAGTTCTACTTTTCCACTACTATAAATTTCCTTTGCTCAGCTCTCTCACTTCTTCCAGCGCTTGTGTGTACGTGGCGACCGGGAGCACACACTCTTAAACTGTAACAAGTACAAGGTCTTACAAGCAGAGTAATGGAAGTGTGTCTATCACAATAAACCGTGAAAGCGACATCGAATAATTTGGCTACATATTGCATCGCTCTTTATGTTCATTACTTACCCACGTGCTATAGCTACAGAGATAATAGAAGAGCACAAAAATGTTGCACATAACATGATATTCGTCTATGTTGTATAAGTAAGAATATTTCACTTTTGACTCAACTTTAACAGACAAAAGCACATGTTTTGCACACACTGTAGCGGAACTACACATCTTCTTAAGCCAGACATAGGCTCTAACGCTCTACTAGACACTTTAGATTGACGAACTCGACTAAGAGAGTCAAGAAGATCAAAGAGTTTACGATTTCTGTTCTAGGGGACCAAACGATTCAGAGAATCCCAGCACATAGTGCTCAAGAGTAGCTACCTTAACAAAGCGTTTGCTAGACTTCTACGATCATAAGAAGCAACATATAGGCACGTCTATTCACGGAATATAATAGATAATAAAATTCATTTCTGGTTATCAAAAAGAACACCGTAGACAAACGTACTTATTCTAGACACTACAGTTCTGATTAATACTTCTTAAAAGATCTCGTAACTCGGTGGCTGACACAACTCCTCCCCCAACAACTGATGTTGATAAATATCGTCTCTTCTCCAACCTGGATTCGTTCTTGTAAACGACGGAAGAGCGAATAGAATTATATCAACGTATTTTCATCCAATTATAGAGTACATTTACGTTTTTTTAGGCCAATTAAACTCAAGGGGTAGAGAAGTACAGTACGCCGGCCGTTCCGACGTATTTGGTCGGAGGACAGCGCCAAATATGTATATGTAACGGGGCACACCCTTTCGTGAACTTAACGCAAGGGTATCGGTGCCCCCACAGACGTACACAAGGCAAGCGAGGAAGCGTAGATAAGGGAAAAGCAGAACTGTTGTATTAATATAATTAAGTCTTATATCCACTGTCTCTTTGTTTGACTTAACTTAATTATGTTAATATAACTGAATGTATGACGACGTCTACTCACCACTCATTGCGCGCGTCTTGCGGCGATTGGTGGGTTGATATCATCAAGATATCAACCAATGAACAGACTCTTTGGTCGACCCATCAATATCACCACTTTGGTGATATTGTTAAAAGAATAAATGACTTAATATTTTTTATTGTCATTATCTCTCAAATGACAATTTCCATGTAACGGGCTGCCCGTTACAGTAAATGTCTATACAAAGCCCAAGTCACGGGTAAATTATCAACATATTTGCGTAATGTCCGATTTCAGATGATCTTGGTTTATCTACACGTGTATCTGTCAATAAAAACCCAATTAGCAGGTGTAATTTGCACATTTGCGCGCCGAGTGATTTCAAATGAGTTTGGTTGATCTGCAGCCTGGAAATTCCAAGCGAGCCAGATCAATAGCTGTGAAGGAATTTGCGCGGTTTCTACAGTCTGAAAATGCAGATCTAGCTCATGTCTAGGGCTGCATTCAGCGCAACGACTGTGGGTGGGCTTTGTGTCTGTAAGAAATAAGTAGTGTATGCATCTTGCATTTTAACGAAGGAAGGGCTGGCAAACCGCTTTCCAGACATTTCCGAATCAGCATGGAGACCCAAAAGCCGATATATTTTTTTAAGATTGACGTCCCTAGATCTCGCGTTATCATGTAAATACGTATGCATTTGATGTCGCACGTTAAGGTAAGCGCTATCACCGGAAATGAGAATAATCGACTACTGTGACGACAAACCGGCGTCAAGGACAGGGACGATGCCGTATTACACGTGTGTGATAAGATCGGTGTCGATATTTTTTCACTTTCGGCGCACAGCTTACTCTATATTTGATCTATTCAAAATTGCACTCTTGTATCCTACACCGAAAGCCATTACTGCGATAGAGCGTACCAGCTAAAGCCTGGGTCCCAGCGGCACCGCATCGCGACGCTCAATACTCGAGGCTTTAACACTTTAACGCGACCTTTTAACTTATTTACAAAGTCTGAAGACACGATGATTGGGAAACTGAAATTACTACTGTAGTGCTGGTTCTTCAGCACAGGCGCGCCGCGTCGGCGCTCCAAGTATTCATTGAAGTAATGCGAACGACAAAGCGGGGTCTCGTATCTTGGCATGTGGGCTCTATACGACACCATACACGTCTTTAATTGGTGGCACTCGGTCGGCGGCCGTCTTCGTACCGCCATTTATAGCATCATAAGTCAGCACGCGGTCTCTGCACTTATTGTAGTCGCTGCTGCACGAAACGTTTGTGTGAATTAGACAAAACACAACTTGACAGCCAGTGACGATATCACGTCTCGTGCTGCTGCCTAGGCTGCTGTTTGATCTCTGATCCGGGCGCTGAAAGAATTGTCAGTGCGAGCAGCTCACGCGTAGCCCGCGCTCGTTCAAGGCCACAAAGTTTCGACGCCTCGTCTCCAACGTGAGGCGTCTGCTCTGCTCTGGATCGGGCACGAGCATCGCGACGGGAGAGCGCTCGATAACGATCTCATGAACGTCGTTACGCGCCCATTGGGGGCGGAAGATGAGCTTCGCCACGTCGCGGTAGCCCTGTTCTAGCACCTGCTTAACTCTGGCGTCGACCGTGAGCTCGATCTCCATCTTGCCGTCTTCAAAGATCGCATTATCGCCCGAAACGTTGTTGCTCATAGCTAATGGTCGTCGACGTTGTCGTACGTCAATGAGTTAGTTAAAAATGAGCGTTGCGTCTATCATTAAATACGATGCGATGTAGAAAGCAGACTACCACGCGACTTTGGAGGCGCCGCTCGTCTACCGCACCGTTGCACACTTGTCACTTGTTTTTATCTTTATAACGCTTTTTGAGTGTATAGGGTGCGGGCGTTGACAGCGGCTTTTCATTGTTCATTAGAGTAGGCGTTCATGCGTTTTGTGTCGTGGGTGATTTGACCCGCAAGTTATGGTGGGAATGGGCGTATTGGCCTACTGCCTGAAGACGATGCACATCGTTTAAAATTCTGGGTAATATATGCAATTATACATTATTGATTCAATGTACCAGATATGTACCCATCGTACGATACGTCGGAGGGTCGGACTTTTCATAGTATGGTGTTTCAATATCGTCTTAAACGGGGCTCCGTCCTTTGTGTAAACTACAAATGTTGTGTAACCACACATGCTATATAACCCCGTTACACACACCCTGAACCTCGCTTGATTCCAGCGTATATCTCAATGATATTCGTCATATATTTTACGGCCTTGTTTTTGCACAAATGTGAGTGAGTACCACGTCATCGCTCTTTTCACAGCGTCAACGGAAAGTTTTAAACATTCTAGGCTACCATTCCGATAAAACAATGGCTGGTACTTTTCACGCGATGTGACACTACACTGTATCGAACGTAAAATCCATTTGGTACATACAAACCTGTGGAAAAGTCAGATTTGAGTGTCATGTAGATGATCCCAGCCGCGATAGCGATATTTAGAAAAGCCTTGGATAAGGGGTCAATGCTACTTGTCTGTAAAAAAACTGACACATCATCATTGAGATATGTGTCAGACACGGTGCCCGACCTATTATTGAATACACCGGGGCGCAAACACACTCATGATTGTCAGTGTCATGTCACGAGGTCATCCAGATACAAGGCCTCTAACACGCACAAGAGGAATAGGCGTAAGCTCGATGTGTGACATATACCATACAAATACGGAATTCTACCAAAGGTTCTGCAATATTCACACATACACCTACAAGAAAGGATGACGAAACTAGCACCATGTGAGAGATAGTAGGTAACGATGGCGGCGTTACAAATACTGAATGTGTAACGTGTAACGAGGCAGTGATGCTAGTACTGACACACATCACAGAGTTAAAAAAAAGGACAAAGTTAGGCAGGTGCCTAAAGCCTCACGTACACCATACTTGCAGAGAAATGATAACCCTTGAATCGGACACGCTTTATAAAAGGCAAAACCAGAACTCTAGGTGATTGGATATTTGTCGCTTTTAAAGCATACCTATTCTGCCTTACTTTCACGAAACTAAACAACAAAGTCCTAGCGTCTTTACCTGCTCACCACCCGGTGTGCGAATTTAGCAACGATTGGTTGTCCGTTAATGTAATGGGCGATTGCAACCAATGAGTGAAAAATTGTGGAGCAATTGCCTCGGACATTGTATTTACTACAATTTTCATTACGTTAAGTAAATATAGCGGAGCATTATCAAATATAAAAATAACCGCGTTGCCCCATTTTTGATAGGCAATGACATCTATTGGAAGCAATCCATTACACAACAAATCTTCGAAAAATGTAGAGTTCACACCATTACACAACGAATCGAAAAGAAGTTAATAGACTGGTTTTCATCCAGTGAAGACTGCTAAATCAGTTGTTGTGTGTAAGTTTGAACGTACAATGGGGCGCTTGCACTTTAGGCATTAGGTGTGTGTAGATCTGTTGCCTTGATGCAATAAAAATTCCTTTTTATTTGGGCGATTCGGTGATTTGTAGACTGATTTGTTTATGCTTAGGTCTTACTCATAGTAGGCTACAAACTCCGCGCATGCAAACATTGTATAGGGATGAAAAAACTGAAAATTAGGCATCTTTCCATGTAGCGCTTGTATTTCGTTTTTCTGTCTTCCCGGCGCACATCGGTGTTGCGACAGAACACAATCGTCATGATATCATATTCTTTGCCATCATGCCTGTATCGAACAAGAATCTTTTCATCCTATACCATGTACGGTAACTTCTGAGCATCAAGTATATGTCACTTCATGGAAATACAAAGATTTTAATTTGTGCAAGATGGCTGCAAATAAGATGCAGTAAATTATTGTCGGTTTCGCCCAATCGGTCCACTCTAGCTCGTTGCAAGATACATGCATTACCTGACGTTGCGACTAAATATGTAATTGTGGGCGGATAGCCCAGCTTCTTTAGGTGAAAGCTCTGGACAAGTATCCGCCTGGCTCGATACCATACGCTGCAAGTGTGCCTACAGTTTAATCATTATCGATTGTCCAAGGGTGTTTTCTCGATAAATTTCACTCGAATTACTTAAGCTTTGCTAGAAGAGATGCCGGATGTCGGGGGCCTCACTCACATTGTGAGGCGATGCCAATGATGTTTCATACTATCTTGTATAAAAGTAAGCACACTTCGAAGAAATGAAAGTTCGCATGGTTTCGAGCTACGTATAACGTGGGTACTAGTTTAGTAAGGTCACCGCATTTGCGACGCTTTTTGCCGCTCTTGACGATGCAATCTTGTCCAAAATGGATGGAAATATACCATCATCCTTATCGAGTCACCATGGTGCGCTGTTTGCTAACTACGGCCGGTCGATGGTGTGTATGGATCTCGCATAGATTAGTGGTGTATGAGGCAGGATACGTTGCCAAATCGCACCAGCTCTTTCAGAAGATACCAGCAAAATTGGTCCAGACTGGATTATCGATTGCATGTCGTATGCTCTGGATGCCTTCAGTGTAACGGGTCACCGACAACTACGTACTGGTCAACCAGTACTGAGTTTACTACCACTGACTGTAGTGATAGTCAGTGCCCAGATAGTTGTAGAACTACACAGAGTAAGGTCGAACGACTAAGGTGAAAGACTATTCATATGAAAAGTAAAACTGTTATTTAATACAATTAAGTCCTATAACTCTTGTATCTCTGTTTGTCCTGACTTAATTATACTAATATAACCAAATGTATGGTGACGTCTACTCACCACCCATTGCGCGCGTCTAGCAGCGATTGGTGGGTTGATATCATCACGATATCAACCAATGAGTAGACCCTTCGGTCATCTTCAACAATATCATCATGCTCTGTGATATTGTTGATAGAATATTCAACGTAATATTTTTTATTGTCATTTTATCCTTAATGACAATATCATGTAACGGACTACCCCGTTACACTCAGAGCAGCAAAACAGAGGCAACGAAACAGTCTTACCCTCCAACACTTTCGTTCGACAAGCTCAGCTTGTCCCTTCGTTATGGTGCCAATACACATGCTTAGGAAATGTATGTACCCTATGTCGTTTTCAAGAATCGATGTTACCGAGCGCATATCGTTATTTTAGACACAAAGATGCCCAGCGCATTCGATCACATGCCATTTTGCTCATACACGATGACAACCTTATTGGACTCTTCATCTGTGTGATGATTTGAGCCAATGACTCCTCGGCGTCGCAGTAGGCAGCGCACTTAACACCAGCAACTGATTACAGGTCATATACACCCGCGATTGTAAGCAGTTGGAGCACTTGCGAAATTGAAGCTTGCAAACATCGCAGGAGGCAGCTAAATTTCTGCTTTCACGTTACAGACGGCACATTCGCACGACGTGTACCGCCTTTTCTTGCCGTCGTCGTCTTATGCTATATCAGAAAAGCCATGCGTATTCCGAGTAGCGCCAACGCAGATGACGCTTTTCTTGGAGAAGCACAATTGTGCAAGCAGCGCGGAGTACCCTCAGAGAACACCGCGGCACCATTGTATCCGATTCGGTTCTTCTCGTGTAATTGCAGTCACGGATTGTCTGACAGACCCCAAACACTCTATGTATAATGGCTTCGTACCCACGCATTCAGCATGTGGTGTTACAAATTGGAACCTTTGCAATACCTTATGTCATTTGATGGTTAAAACTTTTGTCGTTGCTCGAGTCAAAGGTTTCACCCAGAACATGACTACAAGGTAACTTCTGCATTATATTGGTGTACCGCTGATGCATCAACGCCTTTGTTCATCAACGTTGCAACGAAGCCACGTTCACTCCTTCAAAAGCGCTTCATAAGAACATGTGAGATCTGACTTTTCGTCGAAGACTTCGACGCGTACATTGACCATTACTTCATTATGCGCCAGAGCGAAGCAATGTTCACGATCATGGCGTTTATGCGAAACGGCACGCGACTGTTGCTGGCCGCGTGCTTAAATTTGTCGTGACGCAAATCAAGCATTAGTCCAACCGCTGCAAAACCAATAAGATTTCGAGCTGCTACGCTTCTGCAAGAAAAGATGCAGACGTACAAGCACCTGACTACAAAGGGTCGGCACATTTGAAGTTGTGGGAGGTAAATGAATGACATGAGGGACGTTTGGCAGCAAGAGTCGGTAGTGTCTGGTTTGTTGTCTTGCTGATGTTCCGATATTTGTCGTTGTGGTGCTACGGCTTAGTGCTTCGCAGCGATGATGTTGGTCTTGTTGAGCGTCGCATTGTTGTTTCGTCGAATGACATGCCAACCGTCTAGCGTCTCATCTGTACAACACTCACGTAAACGTAGCACTTATGTGCTGGGTCCACAGCACCGGTGTGTTTTCAGACCACGGAGGGGCTGCGTTGCCCTCGGTAAAGTGCACTATCGACAGAGGAAATGCAAACACGTGAGTGCAAGCGTTCCGAATACTCCAAGTCGGTCGACAATGCTGCTTGAGTTAGAGAAGGGATCCCACGGACCAACCAAACGTTGGCGGTATTCGACATAGGCAATCTGGTCACAACCGCTTGCTTGAAGTATTTCACAGATGTCCAGAGTTGGCATTTTTCTGGGGAGAGGCGAGACGGCAGCAAGTGAAACGGACATTGGCAGCAAGTGAGTTAAATATACATGCTTGGCCCTTTTGTGCCCGATGTTACCATAC